TCCCATTCAAATCACACAGCACACTTACTTTACCTACACCTATAGTCTCTCAACTTTGGAGACATTAAGACAGCTTCTTAAATATGGATAATTGAGGCCCTCCTTGTAGAGATTCTGATTGAATTGGACTAGGTTTGGATCTGGACAAAGATGCTTTTAAAAAACTCCCTAGGCAACTGTATTGTGCAGTCCGACTTGGGAACCGCTGACTTAAACCTAAAATGGCCTTGTTTGTGAGAAAAAGAAAAGCTAAATGCCATTAGAAAACCAAACATTAACGCAGGGTTGGACAGAGAAATTGTGAGGGTCATTAATACAGTGAACAGAACATTAAAAATAGGCCCAGTGACTGATAGCACCAAAAGATGTAATCAAGGGCCAGTATGATCCCCTCCTCCCAAAAAGGTGGACTGTCCCTAACTTTTAGCCCTTAAATCTTTTTTCCAGATGTTTTCACAGGTATAGCAGATAAAATCTGTGAGCTAATGGGCTAAGAATTCAAATGGATGATGTACCAAGTCAGTAAGTCTTTGGTTGATGAGGTAATTTTACACACAAGATAAAAGATCTTATTAAAAATCTGAGATCTATATTATCTACATTTGACTCAGTACCTTAAGTTCAGCATTTCTTATAATTGAATTCGTTGATTTTATAAAGTAACCCTAGGATAGGAAAAGGATTAATTCATTGTGTACTTGGATAATCTTTGCTTGAGCTGCAGCCTCCTCAGTCATCCCAGAGCAGCAAAACAAAGCTCTTACTATGTCATAATCTTCCCTTTCTCAACAATGCTTGGTTTGCCTTCTCTGTTTTTCCATGTTTCAGTGATAATTTTCATAAAACTAGATAGAGAAAATGGATACCTTTTATCCATTAGTTTTCTTTTCTCAACACATTCTTAAATATTGCTTGCTTTACCAACATTTTTAGTATTCTCCTTAGCAAGCAGTCTCACCTATTTTGAAGGAAAATCCCACTCATTGGATAAGGCTTCCAAGAATGTCTATCCAATGACTCCCCTGCTATGAGATGTCTGGAGGGGACCTAAAAGCAAGCACCTTGAGAGAACTCTGTGACCAGAAGTGGGAAACAGGTTATATACACAGCCTTTTCAGGAATATTCCTATAGGAATACAGGACTGAGTATTTAGATAAACTAGTCCTCTGTTTTCATTATTTTTTTCTTTTATGCATATATTTACCTTCATAGTAGAAGTTAAAAGAAGCCAATAATAACTACACCTCATCTGGTGGTATTATAAAGTTTAATTAATGTTTCTAAGGTATGAGTTGAACTCACAAGATGAAAGATTCTATATATGGAACATGTGTTGAGTGCCCAATCTGATTTAGTCTGATAATGGCTATAACTGTATGGTGTCCCACATTATACATCTTGATTATAGTGAGTTCAACCTTGAAAAATGTATTTTAATATTGAGAATGTGTTTAACATTGTTTGGCAATGTTTGGGTGTACAGAATATAAACTTACAACTAGCTACAAATAGTTGATTCTTGATGTAAAAAATCTTTACAAAGTAACATGGGAGGTTTTTTTTGTCCTTTAGAAATTGGCCCGAGGGCCCAAGAAAAAGCAAAATTTCAGTTCTCACAAATTGCATAGAAATAATCTAAGATGGTCGGTGTCATAAAATGTAAAAGTATTAAAATTACCTATCTGAGGATTGACCTGGTTCAAAATAAAATGAGTTTGTAAAATGACAAAGGGAGATTATTATTAATCATTTAGGAAAAAAGAAAAATTACTTTTTCCACAAAATCCAATGCTGTTTTATGGAGAACTTAAATAGTAGGTTAGACCACTGGGCCATTCAAGTGAGCCAGAGCTCAAGAGCCAAGGATTTGTGCTCATAAAACTAAGATGTAACTCAGAAGACTGAAGGCTTAGATAACCATGTGAGATTGGGAGCCATTATTACTAGAATGTAGTTGAATATAAATAGACCTCAAATATCCCTCAAGTTAGTATAAAAGTTTATCTTTGTATGACAAAAGCAGCTTTCTCTTATCTTTATGTCCATTCCCTTTCAGCACTGATACTCATAATTTTAAAATACCAAGCATTTCTCTAGACCTAAGGAATTTACATAAACTAGAATAACCTTGTCCCTTACACACAGCATTATTTTATCCTCATTCAGTGAAACAGTCAATTCAGTAAGTTTCTATTTTTCATTTACAAGGTTATTCAGCATTGTCTGAAATGTGAGACACAGCAAAGGCTTAATGTTTTAGGACACCTTCCCTGGCCTTTAAAGCTTACCATCTCATTTTGGGCAGCAAAACAGTATGGTGTATTTGAAAGTGCTTCCATCTGCCCCCTTTCAGGGTTTTTTTCCTCCCTTCCTAGGCCCTGGGGCCAAAATTCCTTTAGAGCCTGTTTTCAGCAAGCTATCCTGGAACAGTACAAAGATACTGGCTGATAATGCTCAAGGAACTCCCTTTCCAGGAGAATCTACAAGGACTTTTCAAGACCAAAAAGGGGGGGGGGGAGTGTTTAAAGAAAGTTACAAAGTTGATTTATGTGGTATGGCCTGATTCACCAATCAGGCCATACCACACAATCTGCTTTTACTACTCCTATAATCTTGCCACTCCCTTGTTTTAAAAGCCCAGTTTGCTTGTCTCATGCTATCTAACATAACCTACAGGATAGATTCCAAAATTCTTGGTTTGGTTTACTAGGCACTTTTGAGCCTCATCTTTCTTAGTCCCAACCAGACATCCTGTTTTCCAGTCTCACTGCAGTTGCCATGTTTCCATAAACATGCCAGGCCCTTTCACAACTCCCTGCTTTGTGCATGTTTCCACTGCCCAGAATGCCTTTCACTCTCTTCCTTGTCTTATTGGCAGCTCCCACTTTGAGACTCAGCACAAATGTGTCTCTCAAACTCCCTGATTTTTCCAGAGTTCCTTCAAATTTCTTGTTTTGCCTCTTGCCACAGCACTTTGTACATTTGTTAAAAGTACTTTTATGGACATTAATTTTGAAACTAGAAGAGTACTTAAAAAATTTATGGAAAATGCATACTATGTGGAAACCATTCATGAATTTTGAAATTTTTCTGTTTGCCCAAATAAATTTATCTTTTAATCCCATTTTTTTTATGAGCTTTGTGTAGTACCCTTCTGTCTTCCCCCACTGGCTTCTCAATGGCAGGGACTTGGCATAGTGTCTGGCACATAAAGTCTCCGGATACATGTTCATTAAAAGTTTCTGTAGTTAGATCAACAGGTTGAAAAAATTATTGTTTGCTCCCCCTGAGAGTGTTCTACGGTTAAAAACTACCTTAGGGAACTTACAGGGTTTGTTATTGTTAATTTAACCAAACATCAAGTTTTGTTTGATCAGCGATCAAATTTAAAGTTTTTGCTCCTGGAATACATTAGTAGAAAACATGACTTTTGCCAATATTGTTCTCCTAAAATGTCTCCTTTGAAACACTGTAGAAGCTGAGACTTCATCAAAGGAAGTAGGTCTTAGCTTTTTGTTTGGTCTATAAATTACTGAATTCATGGCTGATGAAGTCGGGATAGCATGTGGTTCCAAGAATTGCACTGGGTCAGGACTTAGCTACCTTCCTATTTCTTTGCCTTAGAATACACCCTTGGCTCTGGCCAGCCATCTTAGAAAATGCTCCTGGTAAGAAGTAAAAGAACTTACACATACCCTATTGAGAAAAGTATCAAAACTCTGGCTCTATTCAATTTTGGCTCTGTGGTGTCCTTGACATAAATAATTTATAGCTACACTGAATCAAATTCTTTTTCTATGTAAGCTCCTTTTCTTCTATCAATATTGTAACATCAGTAGGCATAATGACAAGATTTGTTTTCTTCCATTTCGGGTTAGTCTCTTCGCCTGGCAACCCCTCCTAATTCCTTTATCTCTTTCAAAGTTTCCATTCTCTCCTTCCCTTACTTTTTACTCCTTCCCTCCCTCTCCCTTCCTCTTCCGCCTCCCCCTTTTTCCCAGCTAGCTTACCCCGCCCCTCACCGTCACCACCTTCCCTCCCCTTCAGGATCCTTCCCGCTCCTTCTCCCGTCACCCCCCACCGTGGCCGCCCGCCTCGCGTTCATAAAGCGCCAATCAGAAGCCCCGAAGGTGTTTCGAAGGCCCGCCCCCTCCTCCCTCTCCACTTCTCTTCCCCCCCTTTGCTCCCTCCCCACCCCCCACTCAAGTCCTGCGGACTCGGGGGCTTCGGGAGCTGGGCGCTATGAAAAGTGTCTGCCCAGTCACTTCCGGTAAGAACGCCGCGGCGCAAAGCTCCCCGCGGGACCGTTACGGAGGGATGGGAGTTACCGATGGGCCGGAGGAGGGAGGTACTGCCGGGGAAGGGAAGAGGGAGCGAGAGCCGGAGCAGAGTAGTGCGAGCCTCTGAGGCGCTTCAGCTGCCCCTGTCCCGCCATCCCGCTGTGCGCCAGCTCCCCTGCCCCCCTGGGCGGCTGCGGTGCTCTTCTCCAACCCCCACTCCGGGGACAGACGCCGCCCCTCCTTCGGCGCCGCGTGACCGGAAGTGGCGCCATCTTTAGCCTCTTGTGCTATTGACAATAACAAGCCCTGGGTCTCTTCTCCCCCTCCCCCCCCACCACCACAGCGTCTCCCCTCCCAGAGAGAGGGAGAAAAGGAGGAGGAGCTACAGCCTCAGACTCAGACTCGCTCCTGCAGAAACGGGGGGGAGAGAGCTCGAAAAGCAGGGGAGGGGGACGGCACGGCCGTTTACCTGTCTGCCGCTTCATTCACTCTCCCCCCTCGTTCTGCTCACTCCTGGTGTCAGCCTATCCGCCTTCCCAAACCCTCCCATTTCCCCGGTGTAGCCCCCCCTTCACTTTCCTGCTCGTCCTCTGTGTTTCTCCTCTCTTCCCTTCCCCCTCTAGCATTGCCACCTTCTCCTACACGCACGCAGGCATATAAACTGTAGGTTTTTGATGCTCCTCTGCCTGTTGACCCCGCTATTTTCATGTTTCCAACAGGTTTTTCTTCCCCCAATCCCTCAGCTGCTGCTGCTGCTCAGGAGGTCAGATCTGCCACTGATGGTAATACCAGCACCACTCCGCCCACCTCTGCCAAGAAGAGAAAGTTAAACAGCAGCAGCAGTAGCGGCAGTAACAGTAGTAACGAGAGAGAAGACTTTGATTCCACCTCTTCCTCCTCTTCCACTCCTCCTTTACAACCCAGGGATTCGGCATCCCCTTCAACCTCGTCCTTCTGCCTGGGGGTTTCGGTGGCTACTTCCAGCCACGTACCGATACAGAAGAAGCTGCGTTTTGAAGACACCCTGGAGTTTGTAGGGTTTGATGCGAAGATGGCCGAGGAATCCTCCTCCTCCTCCTCCTCATCTTCACCAACTGCTGCAACATCTCAGCAGCAGCAACTTAAAAATAAGAGTATATTAATCTCTTCTGTGGCTTCGGTGCATCATGCAAACGGCCTAGCCAAATCTACCACCGTCTCTAGCTTTGCTAACAGCAAGCCTGGCTCTGCTAAGAAGTTAGTGATCAAGAACTTTAAAGGTAACCAAAGCCAAAATTCATAATCACCTACTAAAGATTTGACACTTCAGCGGTCACGTGCTCTATTTATGTTACTATATTAAAGAGCATAGAGGTAGCTAATGTTTTATGCGTAATTAATGAGGTGGAGGGGAGGTCCTTTTTTTGGTGGAGGGTTCATTTGCCAGGGGGGTGGTTAGGAACCTTGTGCTGAGGCATACACCCCGTGTTTCTGTGCAGTATTTTGAGGTTTTCCTCAACCTGTTATATTTAATTTGTTGTCCCTTATAACATTGGGTATCTACAGTATGATTGATCCGGATTTTACAGGTGAGAAATTTATGTTCTAAAGAGGTTTGTTTATTTCAGGTGCATAGTGAGCCTTGGCACTGCTGGGATTTGTATTTTTGTACTTCAGTAGGCCACATTATCCAGTCCCCAGAAAAGCAGGTAGCAATGGTGATCTTTCCATGCTCAAATAGGACTTAGATTGTTGAATACTGTATTTATGAAACTCATTGCAGAAGCAGTATTCAGAGAAAATATTTATGGTCTCTACATATCTTACCAAAGATAGGGGTTAGAATTGAAAAATACTGGGTATACACAGAAGTTGTAACTCTGTGTACCACTAGTCTAAAGATAGGTACAGTTACTACATCTATTTTTTTATCACTAAAACGAGTTTTAAAGTATTGCCCTGAAGCTTTTAGGAAAATTTGTTAATATTGTCTTTGATAGGTGATTGAAAGTATTATGAACGCATTGATGCTAATACAAAATCAAGTTTTAAAAAAAATGTATTCAGCTGAATTAATTTGTATCTGTTGAATGTGTTCTATTTTTCTGGCTCACTTATTCAACACCTTTAACTGGCAGGTAATAAGTGCAAAAATGATTATTAAATGGAGAAGTAAATGAATGAACTTAAGTAATATTTACTGCATAAGTGCCTTGGGGCTTAATACTAGTATCGGAAAAATTAGGTGTTCACTATCTGTATTTTCAACATTAGTGTAAAAATAAAGAATATACTCTTTTATTTCAAGCAGAGAGATATGGTGTTGTTTATTTTTAACCCTTTCTTTTTATATCACTTCTCTCCCATTTGCAGACTCTTGAAGAGTGTTATATTCTGACTTAAGAGTAAAGCTTTCTGCTTTCTGAAGTGAATATGAATTGTAATTGACTAATGTGTTCATTATTTAGCTGAAATATTTTGCTTAATAGCCAAGATTTTTATAAGAAGTGAGCTGTGATCCTAATTGCTTCTGAAAATTGATTTAAGAAATTTTGTTTTTTTCTTCCTCCAAAAAAATTAAAACACATTATTAAGGCATTTCAATGCTTTAATTAAAAGTTTTTTTCCACTCATTGATGGCCAGTGAAGTGTAAAAGCCTAGCATTTCAGTGTTTCTTTCTATTTAGAAAATGCTGCATAGTTTCTGGAGTCATTTGGATATTTGAATTTCTTTTAAAATTTCATTCTACTCATAAATGTAGTTTAAAACCTGAGTTAAAATGTTTTTCTCCATTTCTGTAGTTTCTGCATAAATTTGGGGATCAAAAAGACCAGGATTAGAATGCCAGACTTGCCGTTGACTAGTTACAGTGACCTTGGGCAAACTTACCAAATGCTTTCCATCCTTGGATTCCTCAGTTTTGATACTTAGCCTAGGGCATTGTTAGGATGATAAAGGGGTTTATAAAATTCCTTGCACATAGTAGACATACAATATTTTAAATCTCAGGTACAAAATTCATGTTGACTTAGGTTTTACACATGATGAAATAAGGTCAGGATTGTTACTTTTTATCTGTCATTCTTGAATTTTTATTTTTTGAAGCAATACGTTCAGTAGGAGAAAAAAACCCTCACCTTCAGTTTTAATAGGTGAGTTAAAGTGACCAATAAAATTTGAAATATTAGAATACTGTTTCTTTATACTGAGCTCTTAATACAGTGGTTGCTTTAACATTTAAGTGTAATAGTTATAAAGATCACAGTTTACTTTAAAAACAGTAATGTAATTGTATTTTGTGGACCTTCAGTTGCTATATTCTATATGTTGTTTTAATGCCAACCTTTTATATATCATCTAGATAAGCCTAAATTACCAGAAAACTACACAGATGAAACTTGGCAGAAACTGAAAGAAGCAGTGGAAGCTATTCAGAATAGTACTTCAATTAAGTACAATTTAGAAGAACTCTACCAGGTATGTATTAATGTGATAACTAGATTTCATTAACATAAATTGAGGTGAGATAATTTGGATTTACTTTCTGAAATAGGGCCTTAAATACACTTTTGCCTCTTTTCTAATTACAATTTCTTGATGCACTCCTTTTTACAATCAGACCATATACTCATAAACTGAGTACAGTCATATTGGTTATAAGCCCACCTTATAGTATGAGTGGTATAAATTGAACTTATACCAGTATGACCTGGACACTCCTAATTAAGTTTCAGTTTGGTACACGTTGATATAATTGACATTTTTACCCATAATGGAATCTTGTAGGGTAGATCCCAAAGTGATTTCTGGAGACCTGTCACTCTTCTGTTATGATAATTCTTGCTTAGTTGTTTCTCGCTTTTAAGAAAAGCCTCAAGACATGCAGATGTCCTTCACATCCTTTAGTCTACCTCTTTATTTGTAGCATTTTGCCACTTTTTTTCTTTTTTTTTGCTCTGCATGTTTGTCTTATCTCCTGTGCCCAGATAGGAGCAGCAGGTTGTAGCCTAGCAGTATAGTCTGAGGCTCAGATTTGGAGATTTTTTTGCTTACAAATAAGTCTTTAAATTTGAAATGTTTAGGCCGGCGCCGCGGCTCACTAGGCTAATCCTCCGCCTAGCGGCGCCGGCACACCGGGTTCTAGTCCCGGTTGGGGCGCCGGATTCTGTCCCGGTTGCCCCTCTTCCAGGCCAGCTCTCTGCTGTGGCCCGGGAGTGCAGTGGAGGATGGCCCAGGTGCTTGGGCTCTGCACCCCATGGGAGACCAGAAAAAGCACCTGGCTCCTGGCTCCTGCCATTGGATCAGCGCGGTGCGCCGGCCGCGGCGGCTATTGGAGGGTGAACCAATGGCAAAAGGAAGACCTTTCTCTCTGTCTCTCTCTCTCACTGTCCACTCTGCCTGTCAAAAAAAAAAATTGAAATGTTTAAATGTAATACCAAGGGCAGCTCTTGATTTAGACTTCTTGCTACATAGAGATTTTTTGCCTACTGTGTTTTGACACATACAACCAATTCAAGAATTTTCCATTGATAGTGTCAGCAGTTTGTTATTAAAAAATACTTCTCAGTTCAATTGCTTAAGTTAATGAGTATGATGTAAAATTATATTGGTCCAATTTATCAGTATTTGTAATATTCACATTTTAGTTGGAGGGGTAAGAGGGTGATAGTTGAATCCTGGATGAGAAGTCAGGAAAAAGTTTTGGGATCTAGTTTTCTCTGCTGTTGCCCTTGTGATCTTGGGCAAGGTAATAAACTCCTCACAGGAGAAAGAATACCTGCCTTTTCTACATCTCAGAGGTGCTTATAATAACCAAGTGAGACATTTGTAAAAAACACCTTGAAGAACACTATGATATATAAATATGAAGGTACTTCAAAAAGTTCATGGAAAATGGAAAGAAAAAGAGTTTATTTTGGTGCAAAAAATTGAAATCCACGCATAGTTTTCTCATAATACACATTTTGCCATAAACTGAAGCCAGGATTCTGGAACTCAATCCAGGTCTGCCACATGGGTGGCAGGGACTCAAGTACTTGAGCCATCATCTAATTTCTTCCCAGAGGCATCATCAGGAAGCTGGATGGGAAGCCAAGTAGCCAGGACTCAAACCAGGCACTCCTCAATGGGATGCATGCATCCCACATTGGAGGCTGAGCTGCACCACAATACTTGTTCCCCTTAAATTCTATTTTCTGTGAACTTTTTGAAGCACTGTTGTATAAGATGTTGTTATCACTAGTCAGACTTTCTCATAAGCTACAATATGGCTTTTTCACTTGTAATATGTCAAATTGAGGTTCTGTTGCTGTTAAAATTGAGTACATATATACAAAACACCCAGAATAATGCTCAACCACAGTAATGATGTAATGTTGTAGGTATTGTGATGCTAAGTAAATGTCAGCTGGTAGTAGTAGTAGTACTAAGGTATTACTTAGGAATAAGCCCACCTCATTTGGCTCTTGTGGTGTATTACATATGTGTGTTTTGGTGTCGCATAATAGTAAAAGTATAATTATAGAATCAGAGTTAGTTGGAAAGTCCTTCAGAGATCATATCATCCAGTATCTTTGTGTAGTGTGTGTGTGACATGTTCATCTTATATTATTTCATTTAAGCATTACAGAAACTCTTTCTAAAATAGATAAGGTAGTAGATATTATCCCCATGTTATTGGTAAGAATAGTAATCTCAGAGAAGTTGAATATCCTGTCCAGAGTCATATATTGGCAGAAAAAAAGATTCAAACTGTGATGCTCTGTTCCTATTCCAGTATACCTTCTCTACCCCACTGCCTCACTACTATGCCACATCACTTTGACTATATTGTAGAAGTTTGAAGCAATTAAATTATCTTACTTTAGGAAAAAGCTATTATCAAAATAGTACTTTTTTTATATGTTCATGTATGTGAAACTTACTTGGATCTACTGGTATATAGTATATAATTTCAATGATGTATAACTTTATGTACTCATATTGCATGTTTATAACATGTTGATAGTAGGTATTAACTTTATTTATTTTTCCTTGAGTGTTTTTCAAGAAGTTTTGATTTGAAAATACTTTCCATGATATATTGATGAGATTTTTTAGGTTTCAAGAGATTATAGCTTACATTTTTGTGATTTTGCTTTCTTATATGTCAGAAGTTTTACTGCTATGGTTCAGTTGCATTTATTTAGCTTAAAATCATGGGTGTTAAAACTTGACTGTCTGCATTTTTCATAGGACTTTACTCATTTTGCTATAATAAATTCAAAAGCATTTGTTTCTAGCTCTTTTATGGTTTTTGATCTTAATTTTATAAATGCTCCTTTGGATGGATTGGATTGGATTAGTCTCAGAAATATAATTTTGAGATGTTGAAGTTCAAAGAGGAGGTAAAGTTATTTTACACTATCTAACCTTCAGTCGTTTGATTTCAACTTACTGAAACACAATTAAAAAGTACTCTCCTAAAATTGAAATAATATAGTAATAGGTACATATATAAAACAAAAAGTTCTCCAAACACCTACCCAACCCTCTTTCCCAGATGTAAAATTTGTTGGCATATCTCTATCCAGAACATTCTTCAGTATTAATAATCATCTTCCTTTATATATTAAGTATGGGGGAGCCATCGTTGTGGCGTAGCAGGTTAAGCCGCCACCTGGGACACTGGCATCTCGTATGAGCACCTCCTGTCCCAACTGCTCCACTTCTGTTCCAGCTCCCTGCTGGTGGCCTGGGAAAAGCAGTGGAAGATGGCCCGAGCTTTTGGGCTTCTGCCACCCAAATGGAAGACCCAGAGGAGGTGCCTGGCCCAGCCCTGGCCGTTATAGCCATTATCTCTCTCTGTCTCTCCTTCTCTTTCTCTTAACTCTGCCTTTCAAATAAATAAATATATCTTAAGAAAGTAAAGTTTAGGTATGGTAGTCCCAAGTATGGGGTTGCAACTTTCAAGTCTTATGAGTGAGACAGTGGTTGATGATGGTTTGGGATTTTTGTTTATTTATGATTGACCACTATGATAGGACTATGGTTAAATGCACTGACTTTTGAGTTGATCGGCCTGCTTAGATTAGAGATTTGCCACTCATATAACTTGGGGAAAGTTAATTCTCTAAACTTAGTTTCCTCATTTGCAAAATGGGTACACTAATAGAACTATATCTCAGGGTTGTTTCATTGTAAATAAATTTTGAAAAAAAAAAAAAAAAGCATTTATAGCCCCTGTTAAATACTGGTGTTACCAATGCTAATAAATATATGGGCTTTGAAAAGAAATCCTGGGGCCAGCATTGTGACACAGCCAGTTTAAGCCATGCCTGCAACACCAGCATCCCATATTGGGGTACTGGTTTCAGTTCCAGCTGCTCTGCTTTTGATCAGGCTTCCTGCTAGTTCACATAGGAAGGCAGCAGATAAGTACTTGGGCCACTGCCACCTGTGTGGGAGACCTGGATGGAGTTCTTGGCTCCTGGCTTTGGCCTGGCCCAGACTGTTGCTGTTGTTTGGGAAGTAAACCAGCAGATGGAGAATTCTCGCTGTCTCTCCCTTCTGTCACTCTGCCTTTCAAATAAAAAAATATTTTTAAAAAGAGAAATCTTGGAGCTGGTGTTGTGGCATAGTAGGTTAAGCCTCCACATGTGGAACTGGTAACCCATATGGGCACCAGTTCTAATCCCGGCTGCTCCTCTTCTGATCCAGCTCTCTGCTATGGCCTGGAAAAGCAGTAGAGGATGGCCCAAGTGCTTGAGCCCCTGTACTCACATGGGAGACCCAGAGGAAGCTCCTGGCTCCTGGCTTCAGGTTGGCCCATCTCTGGCCGTTTGGGGAGTGAACCAGCGGATGGAAGACCTTTCTGTCTGTCTCTCCCTCTGTAACTCTATTTCTCAAGTAAATAAATAAAATTTTGAAGAAAGAAATCTTTATATTTTAAAATTATATATTATTTTAGAACCCAAACACTGCATGCTTTTAAATTCTTAGATTTTTAATTTATTATTGGGGGGGGTAGGTAGGTGTATCTTCCATTAGTTTACCCCGCACATGCATACAACAGCCGGGGCTGGACCAGGCCAAAGCTAGGAGTCTGGAACTCAACATGGATTTCCCATGTGGATGACAGGGATGCAACTGTTTGAGCCATCAACACTGTCCTTCACAGGGTGTGCATTAGCAGGAAGCTAAAATCGAGAGTGGAGCTGGGTGCTCTGATAGGAGACAGGTGTCCCAAGCAGGGCCCTAACTGTTGCAGCAAATGCCCACTCCCCCATATTTTCAAATTCTAAGTTCACACTAGACCAGAACAGCTTGCTGATGAACAGATTACATTGCAAATATGCTTCAGTAGACACCATTAGTGGAATTGGAAAAAAAAATAGAACTCTCTAGGAACAGTGTTCCTCTGCAGTTCTTTTTCAAAATGTGTCCTGTTTTTACATATGATGTCTTACGTTTGGAATTTTGGTGTTGGTGAGTTTATC